CCCAGGAACCCCAATAGCTGGGCCGAGCAGTTCGTGGGTTCAGCCCGGAAAGGTATTTGCTGGGGCGCGGACTCCGTGCGGGGAGGGCACGCGGGGCCCCCGGAAGCGCCCCGGCCGGTGGGCCCGACGGGGGGGCTACACGCAGGGCCCGCCATGGAAAGCGGGAGAGCCCCGAACTCTTGGCCGGAAAAGTGTGGGAAGGCTTCGGTGGAGGAGGGGGCGTTGAAAACCGCTCTGAGTCCACCCGAGATTCCCGAAAAAGCGCCCAGGCCTTAGTCAGTGGGGGCTTTACACAGGGCGCAAAACACCCTCATCTTTGTCCCCAAATGGGACGGGATTTTCAGGTACAGCAAGGCCGGAGAGCCGCGGACTCCATAGGAAGTCAGTCCCGACCTGGCTGCAGCCAGGACAGGAAGCTCATGTCGGCTTCCCCCTAGAGCCCACCCTTGGCCGAGGTTCTGCCTGGGACCTTCCCCAGCCTTTCATCGTGCTCTGCCCAGTGCCCAGGCCCAGCTGGAGGGACACCCACCCTCTTCAGAACCTGTGGAGCGCTGGTGGCCTCCAGGAGGCTTGTCACTTGGGCTCTAGGACTCAGCTGAGCTTCTCTTACTGACATAGGGCAGGGACCAGGGACGGGACCCCTTTTTTTTTTCCGCTCTCTCCCTGCCCCATAGTAAACATCTCGTAGTCCCAACCACACACACCTTCCTCACATATTGAATGTTTGCTGGAACAGATTAGGAGGAAATGAGTCCGAAAAATGAATTCACAGTTCAAAAGTCACAAGTGAAAAGGGTAGGGTAACCTGCTGATGGTGGCCTTCCAGGCATCCAGTTGAGGAGGACAGTTTTTCAACGGGTGGCCCTGCATATCCCCCACGGGACGTCTGTGGAGCATCCAGCTGGGTGGGGAGAGTGTGGGCCTGGGGGGCAAATGAACCTCCTCCTCCACTCCTTCCTGGAACCTGTAGGTTTAGCTAAGGGGCTTTCCTTTCCATCCTGCTTCTTTGTCTGTCACCTGAGAATCCTATCACCACCTCCTAGGGTCCCTGTGAGGGGGATGTGGGCTTGGCAGTGGGGGTAATGTTCACCTCACCCTTCCCTTTCCTTTCCAGGGATCTGCCTTCAGGCAGCCCATGTCTGCCTGTCAACCTTCCACTCTTATCCCAGACTGTCTCTTTCAACTGATCCTAAAGTGAGCACCTACTATGCGCTTACCTTTCGGATAAATCCTGGAGAAACAACATTGACTAACACAGTCTGCCTAGGAGAGAGGTGAATTTGGCTCATTCACTCAGTACATATTGATTGAACACTCTGGTTGTGCCAGGCCTGACGGGGCTGGTACATAGTAAGTGCTTAGTGAGTACCCTGTTGTAGTCTTCAGGGGTGACCCTGGATACAAAAGGCAATCTTTTTCATGGACTGGGAAGCAACTCAGATGTCTCCACTTGTGGAAAGAAAGTTACACAGTGTTTGGAATGAGGCCATAGGGAGGGAGTGATGTTCGCTCATGCCGTCCATGGCTCTCTCTTCATGCCTATCCTGTGCCTGGCATAGTGGGTTAGCAATATTGATTGAATGAATGAATATCCTATTTTTCTTGATTCATGTGACCCATTCAGCTTTTCCTGTTCCAACTTTTGGTATCCTAGTACACAGAGATACAGAGCAAAGTTCTTTGTTTGTGTTTTGTTGTTGCTCTTAATCCTCATCTGAGGATATTTTTCCATTGATTTTTAGAGAGAGTGGAGGGGAAGAGACAGAGAGAAACATCACTGATGAGAGAGAATCATTAATCAGCTGCCTCCTGCATGCACCCTGCTGGGGATGGAGCCCAGGCATGTGCCTGACCAGGAATCGAACCATGACCTTCTGGTTCATAGATTGATGCTCAACCACTGGGCCACACTGGCCAGCCAGAGCAAAGTTCTTTATTATAAAGAGAACGATAGTGCAAATTCAGTGATAAGAGGCGACTGGCGCTGGCTGTCAGGGAGACTGGAGAGTCCTGGGGACTGTGGAGAGTGTGCTATCTGCAGGGGCAGTGACAGTTGAGCAGAGAAACCCAATGTGGCCACATCTGTCCATTTTCCAAGAGAAATAGGAAATCCAGGTTAGTATGTGAACGCTATCAGTTTAAAGTCTACTCGAAAAATTTTAAAACGTAGAATCTAATCTAATAAAAGAGAAACATGCAAATTGACCGTACCTTCGCTATGCCCCCCAAGACACGCCCACCAGCCAATCAGAGCGACTATATGCAAATTAACCCAACCAAGATGGGGGCCGGCAGCCATGGAGCTGGAGGAAGCAGGAGGCTTAGGTTGCCCCGGCAATGGAGGAAGCCAAGCTTCCCATCTGCCCTGGCCGGCTCTGGCCTCCGCTGAAGGCAACAAAGTTTCAATTATAATCCCAGATACCGGCTTCCAGCCAGCCTCCACTGGGAGCTTGGGTGGCTGGGGG